ATCTACTGCATGCAATGTACCCGCAACACACAGCAGCGGTCTAAACATAAGTAAGTAAGTAAGGGAGGTGTAAGGTTTCGAATAGCTATATGCATACTTAATAATATTCAAAAGAAAATGTATAGGTTATACTATACCACACTATTTCCTACATATATCTATGTATACGGTATGGAACAGACCCCCCCCCCCCCCACCCGTCCCCCTGATCCCTTACCACGCACAGAAAATTCGGCGTTCTTGCGAAATTTATTTATGAAATGTAAGAAAAAAATCGAACGACGCCTGCTTGCTGATTGGATGGTGCAGACAGTTCCATCCCTGGGTGCAAGTGCAAAACTGCCTTCCCACTTGAGCCGTCTCTTGTCTATAATCCCTATCAATTGTCCCCTCGATACGAGGGGACATTTGATAAGGATTGATTATAGACAGCAAATGGCGGGAGCGTGGTAAACGGGGCACGAAAAGGAGTTTTTCAAGATATTTCTCTAGAGGGAAAGCGAAACCTGAACCTTCTAACTCAAGCCCTAGGTTGCTCGGTGCCTCCTATCAACGGTGGGCTAGGTACTTCTTCCGCGCTTGCCCCTAGTAGCGCTTTCCACAGACGCGGCGCAACTTCGCTGTTGAACCCACGGCGTAATCGCCCCGCGATTCGACCTGTTCATTACCCTCATACATACTCCTCCACTTCTACAAAGCATCCATACTAGACTAGAGTCGTCCCTGTGTACCCTGGCACCCCCCTGGTCGAGTAGTGCAAAGGAGGAGACAATCATGCCAATCTTCGCGAGGTAAAGCAGGTGAAGAAGATGGGGACAAAACGTGTCCCCAAAAGGCGATCCAGCCCTAAAGTTTTGGGGTGTGCATCACGTATTTGAATCCACGTGCCCTCTTGTCATCATGGGTCCGGGGTTCGCAAGAGAGGATCTTCATCCAAAATGACTTTCAATCAGTAGAGGGTCTCCGCGTTCTGCCATCAGCTCGCCTCCGAGTAGACGCGCGGTGTTTCCCATATGGGCATCGAAACGCATCGTCAACTCGATTGCCACATCTGCCAACCGATGCATGAGAATTGCACTGGCCGTTTCGTTACTTGATCCGAGTAAAATGCTATCGAGTTGTTGACGCAGCTGGAAGCACGAACGGCGAAGGATACCTTGCCACTCGCGAGTTGCTGAAAGTTAAGCGGAAATAGCAATCGCGCTACAGTAGGTTTGAAATCCGCTGTCCAAGAGCCGATTAGCCTTTCTTCCGGCGTGTGTGTGATGCTGTGTTGAGACAATAAGCATCGACACCCGACACCAACGCCGGTCCGCCAATACCCATGTCATTCTCCCAATCAATGTATAAGTTATGTTTCGCGAACGCCAAGTCCAATGGGAAACAGGAAAAAGAAAACACCATTGAACCTGCCGTGCTTCCCATCTATGCCGTTTGGCGTTCCGTCTACTCTACGTACCCGGAGAAACATAGGAACGTACTGCCAAGCCCCTTCCGCCTTGTCACTCCCCATGCGTTTCGGTGAACTCGAATTCCCCGGAGAAGCAACGGACGTCACTGCCGTTCCACCCGCTCAACCCTTTCACATATATGGTTACTTGTTTTTTTTTTAAATTATTATTTGGCATGTTTGTCATCATTTGGTAAAATTTGGTGCTGCCGACTTGTCATTGCCCGCGCTCTGTTGTCCGTCTTACAGAGCACAGCTGGAAGAGGGCGAGGGTTACGTGCGCAAGCTCACGCTGTCTGGAAAGCTCATTGGAGGGGGAGTCTACACCACGAGGGAAGGTCTCCGTCTACTGGCTCATTGTTCCCGTCGGAAGCTCTCCCACTAGCCTTCGGCATGTCTTCTTGCGACGATTTGTTCTACCTCGATATCGACTACTCTACTGACCGCGATGGCTGCTACGAGGTCGGCTCGACCATCAACTTGGAAAACGCCTACTTCCTGGACGGCATTGCAGATGAGGGCTCCGCTCTGGTGTATGCCTCAGAGAGCATTGTGGATGATAACGTGAGACAAGTTCGGGTGATTCCTACTACGGGTTGGTCTGTGCTGATCTCTCTGTTGACGAGATACCCATTGTCTGACTAGAATCGTTGATATCACCTGGAACACCTCAGCTATTGAAATTTGGAATAACAGCTACAGTTTATTCGCCGCGTGTTCCAATCTGGTAGATATTTAGTGTTCTGCCAGCGATCAGCGGATGGTAGGAAGAGCAGATCGACGGTGGATAGGGGAGAGGTGACACTACACACGGAAATAATACAATCTCAGTGGTGGCTAGACCAGCCCCCTTGGCCGAAGAAGGAGAGTCAACGGTCCCTATCTCTGGTCGTGCCGTATCACTATCGACAATATCACAATCCTGAGGAAGGAAAACGACGAACCTTTCTCCGGCGACTCACCGCGATGTGATGTTGGGGACGCTTTTGCACACAGAGCGAAGTTGGGTTCGACTTTCGTGCACAGACGATGCAGATATCAACGCTGTCCGTCCCTACCCCTGCCGAGGAAGCCGTATGCAAAACCGACCTACGTTTTCTTCTGTCGGGATCTCTGGAGAATTTAGTTGTGAGCTAGTTGGCTTGGTGAGCAACCGCCGTGAGCACAGGAGAATGGAATTCTGGTGTGCAGCTTGCACATACGACGGAAAAGGCCATTCGTCTACTGTCGCATCAATGTCCAGGCAAGAGCGTCTAAGAATTGATGATAGAGGAAATACAGCTCACACCTCTTATATAGTTGTTTCTTCCAAGCGGGCCGGCGCTGAATGTCTGCGGAGACTTCTACACGCACTGCACTTTCACGGGACACCACGGCAAATTCTTGTTCTTGGAAAGACGCGTTGCCTAGTCTACACCCCATTGGTGGGGAACGCTTCTCGTTGACATGCAAGATGTTGACCACGCTCATGGGCGGGAGCGTCAACCCATTGTGCAAATGCGTTTTTCTGAGTTGCCGAGGATGGATTTCTCTCTCGCCCGTTTTGGGCTGCATGCACATCATGGTGGGCATTCATCCTACCGCCCATCACGGGCAGTCCATGCCCGTGATGGACATGTGATTACGTGACTGCCGTGGCCGTGGGTATCTGCTTGAGTGCCAACGATGGGCAGCCCACGGGCAATCCATGGGCAACACATGATGGAAATTTGCCCGTGGATGGGCAGTCCATGATGGGTCTTGCCGTTTGTCCCCATGGGCAGCCGTGGAGCCCACTATGGACATCTTCGCGAGTGCCCATGATGGGCAGCCCGTGACGTGCCCATGATGGGCTACCCACATGGGCAATCCATGGGTGCGCCCTTGGGTGCGCCCATGGGTAGACCACGGGCAGTTCATGGACAGTCGATGAAGTGCCCATGAGTGCCTATGGCCCATGGGAAGATCAAGAAAACCCTGACAACAACAACAAGAGTGCACCTAATTCCCTAAAATCGTGCCACGAATCTCACAGTCGCTTGTGTGTAGCAGGACCGCGTGGTGTGGTCGTAATCGCCGTTGTTTTGTCCTTTCTTCGGTTGCTGGGTGTGCTTGGTCTGGAATCCGCGCGCCATAGCCGAAAGCCAACCTCTCTCCCTGGCCGATGTCTTTGGACGCCTCTTGAGTGGCGCTGTTCGGTAACACGGTGACACTAGCCGCCTCCGCCAGGAATTACGTTGTGTGTGATTTGCGATTCCGAGAACAACGACTGCATGCGAGCAGTAACCTTCCCGGAGATTTCTCGGGGCTTAAGGATGGCACGCAAGGACGTTTCAAAAGGCTGTGTGCCTTTCCTACACTCCTTCGTGCCACAAGACGTTGTAGTCATGTGAGCAGGTCTCATCGAGGGTAGCTTTCTGTTACAGCCATGCGCCCGTCTACTTGGCACCCAATGGGCTACAGTATGTACTGTCAGCACATGTGCAACGTTTTAGTTTTCGGAATCCTGCAGTATTGGTGACCTCCTCTTTCCTTGACGGCGGTTTCCTTCTTGAGGCAGAGCACTGTTCGCGAGGCATATACTCGGCTGCAAAATCTCCAATGGAAGTAGTTTTGTCTCGTACAGCTGCATCCAAACTTCGCTCGGTGTCATGTTTGCTAGTGTCAGCCGAAGAAAAAACGAAAATTCGTGTACAACATCGTGATAGCAACGCACACCATGCAGGGTACTCGGTGAACTTGACTCGGACGCTAAGTTGCAATTTTGTTTGGTACCTTGAGTAGAGCTGATACGATTCACCGTCGGTGCATGTCACCAGGGAGTGGAATGATAACTAGAACTGTATCTTCCTCCGTCTTGTCTTTGCTTTCGGATCGGCCCTTTGTCCGATATTGTTCTACACATATGCGTGTACATGTATGTAATGCGATATTTCCGATATTTCCTTTGGCGCAATATTCCTGTACAGCGCCGGCAACTTCCGGCCTCCGTTCGCCAACCTTTCGTTTCAATTATCAATTGACCACGTTATTCGCCGTCGGGTTTGAACTTTCGCCGTACGCTGGACTGTTATTGTTGCTTGGACCGACGCACACAATTTCTTCCTCTTGAGTTGAGAGCTGGCACTATAAAATAGTGTGACTATCTCGATCAGTGTTGTCGGTAGGTCGGTAGTCAAAGACGATCCCGGGTTGTTGTCGGTAAATTCGTTCCCTTGTGGGGATACGCTGGAAGACGTTGATGGAATGCGCGGGCTACGCGGCGAAACACCAGGACAATCGTGTCGAGGGTCTTCGCCTGTGCACTGGCAGGAATACGTGGCCTCAAGTGTGTGGTGGGTTACCATCTTACACCCCTCTTGTGTGTTGTCCCTCCGTTCTCTCCAGCTTGTCTGGGTGTTGGGCAACGTAAACGAGTGGTACGACGGCGACACTTGGGACGTATCGTGGCTCTGTCGGGATGCCGCCCTGGGTGACGCGTCTACCCAACACCCGTCGGAGGTGGTCCAGTGGAACTGTTACAGCTCAGAGGATAGCGATTACACAAGATTGGACGAGATATCAATCACCTGCAGCTGCGGCACCACTCCCGCTCCCACCGCCCTTTCTTGCGACGATTCGTTCTCCCTCGATGTCGACTACTCTAGCGTCCGCGATGGCTGCTACGAGCTCAACATTGCCTGGACCATCAACGGGGAGAACTCCTACTTCTTGAACGGCATTGAGGAGGATGTGGACTCATCTGTGGTGTATACCACAGATGACTTGGTGGATGATCATGTGAGAGAGATTCGGGCATGGTGATTCCTACTTGGTGTGACTGCTACGGGTTGGTCCGTGCTGGTCTTTTTGTGGACGAAACACCCATTCAGACTACATTCCTTGATATCACCTGGAACAACTCTGTCATTGGAATGGCAAGTGTGCTACAGCAGAGTTGTATTCACCGTGTTCCAATCTGCTAGATTTCAAGTGTTCTGCCAGCGACCAGCGAATGATAGGACGAGAAGATCGACAGTAGATAAGGTTACACTCTGGCTGAACGAATACAATCTCAGTGGTGGCTAGACCAACCCCCCCGGCCGAAGGGCTCAACGGTCTCTATCTCTGGTCGTGCCGTGTTCATATCACTATAGACTATGTCGACAATCCTGAGGAATGGAAACAACGAACCTTTCTGCGGCGTATAACGGCAACGGCTTTCGTGCATAAACGATGCAGATGTAAACGTTTTCCGCCCCTGCCAGTGCGGAGGAAGCCGTCTGCAAGACCGGTCCCACGGTTTCTTCTGTAGGGATCTCTGGATAATTTAGTTGTCATCTTTGTTGGGTGGGTGGAGCGCCACCCGCCGTGAGCACAGGAGAATGGAATTCTGGTGTGCAGCTTGCACATCCAACGGAAAAGCATGAAAATACAGGAAATACAGCTCACATCTCTGCGAAATTATGTGTTGAGCCTCGCCCAAAATGGTTGTCTCTGGCCAGCGGGCCGGCGCTGAATGTCTGCGGAGATTTCTGCACGCCCTGCACTTTCACGGGACAAGAGGACAAATTCTTGGTAAGACGCGTTGGTCTACACGGGGCACGCTTCCCGTTGACATGTGAATTGTTGACCATGCTCCCCGTGCGGGGGAGGGGGCAGCCCACCACCAACAGCCCGCGGAAACCGTTGTGGACATGTTTTGTGTCTGTGTTGCCGAGGATGGATTAATCACTCGCCCGTTTTTGCTGCATAGTGGGCATTCATCCAACCGCCTATCACGGGCAGTCCATGCCCGTGATGGGCATTTGATTATGTGACAGCGGTGGCCGTGGGTGTTTGCTTGAGTGCCCACGATGAGGCAGCCCATTGGTAGCCCAAATGATGGGTATGTATGTAGGTGCGTGCCTGGGTTGCCGGTCGAGGCTATTTGCATGAGTGGCAGCCCAACGGCAACCCATGGGTAGCACATGATGGAAATTTGCCCATGCATGGACAGCCCACCATGGGCAGCCCATGGCGTGCCATCATGCGCTACCCACGAGGGCAATCCATGGGCGCGCCCATGGGCAGTCCATGAAATGCCCATAGCCAGCCCATGGACTGCCAATAGCCAATGGGTGGATTAACAAAACTCCAACAACAGTGCGCTATATCCCTTGTATCGTGTAACAACTGTCGCTTTCACCCAGTCGCTTGTGTGTAGCAAGACCGTTTGGTGTGATCGCATACGCCATTGTTTTTTCCTGTCTTTGAATGTTGCTAGGTGTGCACGGTCTGGAATCCGCGCGCCACAGCCGAAAGCCAAGCTGGCTGACTTGTAGCATAGTGGATATCCTGTACACCTTAAAACAACCTCTCTCCGTGGCAGATGTTTCTGGACGCCTCTTGATAGTAGCGTTGCACGGTAACACTAGCCACTTCCGGCAGGAATTACGTTGTGTGTGGTTTTCGATTCCGAGAACGAAGGCTGCTTGCGAGCAGTAACCTCCAGGAGATTTTCTTGGGGTTAAGGATGCCACGGAAGGACGGTTCAAAATGTTGTGTGCCTTCAAGTCGTTGAAGTGATGCGAGCAGGTCTCATCAAGGGTAGCTTTCTGTCACAGGCAGGCACGCATCGACTCGGCACTCAATGTGCTACAGTATATTCTGACAGCACGTATGCAAGTTTTATGTTTTTGAACTCCTGTAGTCCTTCTCGGCCTTCTTCTTGTGGCGGAGCACTATTCGCGAGGCATCTACCCGGCTACATTTTGTAATGGAAGTGGTTTTGTCACGTACATCGGCATTCAAACTATGCTCGGTGCCATGTTTGCTAATGTCGAAGGAAAAACGAAAATTCGTGTACATTGTAGTGAATTGAGCTTCGGCCGCTAGGTCGCAATTTTGTCTGCGACCTTGAGTAGAGCTTATGCGATTCACCATCGGCGCACGTCGTTGGGAAGTCGAATGATGACTGGAACGTTATCTTCCTCCGCCATGTCTTTGTTTCGGATCGGCCCTTAGTCCACTTTGATGCTAAACGAAATATCCCTTGGCGCAATATTGCTGTATAGCGCTAGCAACTTCCGGTGCTCCGTTCGCTAACCGTATGAACGTTCCATTTTCCATCCACCACGTTTTTCGCCGTCGGGTTTGAACTGTCCCCGTACGCTGGAGTGTTGCACTTGCTTGAGCAGACACACACAATGGCTTCCTCTTGAGTTAAGAGGTGGGACTCCATACCGGCACACTATAATAGTGGGACTACCTCGATCAGTTCGGTAGTCAAAGACGATCCCGGGTTATTTATCGGTACTATAGTTGGTTTCCTTGTCGGGACACGCTGGGAGACGTTGATGGGTTGCGCGGGCTACACGGCGAAACGCCAGAACAATCGTATTGGGGGTCTTCGCCTGTGCATTGGGACGAACACGTAGCCTCTCATGTGTGGCGGATTGCCATGCACTGCATCTTACACCCCCCTGTGTGTTGTCCCTCCGTTCTCTCCAGCTTGTCTGGGTGTTGGGCAATGTAAACGAGTACGAGGAAGGCAATTGGGTCATATCGCCTATCTGCCGGGATGCCGCCTTGGGTGACCCGTTTACCCAAGAACCATGGGAGGTGGCGCGGTGGGACTGCTACAGCTCAGATGATGACGATTTCACAAGATTGGACGAGATATCAATCACCTGCAGCTGCGACACCACTCCCGCTCCCACCGCTGGCTCCACTCCGGCTCCCACCGTTGGCCCCACTCCATTTCCCACCGTTCTCCCCACCCCCGCTCCCACCACTGGCTCCACTCCCGCTCCCACCGTCTTCTCCACTCCAGAAACTGAAACCTTCACTCCCGCTCCCATTGCCATCATCTCCCCTCGAGAAACTGTCTCCCCTCTCACCACCAATCCTTTTCCTTCGCCTTCCTTCACCGAGTCCACTCCCCCTTTCACCCTGTCCCCGCTTCCTGAAGGCACGACTACTCCGGCGACGGTCGCCTCATCTGGTGGAGGAGGTCAGAATACGTGACATGGATATTGATTGGTAACCTACGTAGACGCTGTTCTAATACGAACAGTTTGCCGATACAGTGTGTCCTGCGAAAGCAATCGCGAAGCTTGAGAAATCCAGTCGATGGAAATGGGCACCAATCGATGGAGACGGGCAATGTTGCGAATTCATTTCCCCAAGAAATGCGCGCAAGTACCGCATTGTCTTTGGTTTCGCCGTTCCGTTTGCTTTTCTCCTACAGCCAAGTACTTTCCATTGCATGAGGACTCGTACAACCAACAGAGAGAGACCAAAGAATGCTCCACTGACGATTCTTTCCGCGAACGTGCTACCTATCTCTCAGTGATACATTTGCTCGTTCTTCGATGTTGTTCTTACTCTCAGATACTTCGACAATGAGTGTCGTCGCCGGTGCGGTGGGAGGCGGGCTAGTCGTAGGGGCGATCGCGGCGGTAGTTCTGCTGTTCAAGACTGGCCGCCTAAAGCCCTGCGGGAATGACAACTCAAGCGAGCCGTCGCCTGGGGTGGGATCGATACCCGCTGGTGCACCCTCTGCCACGAGCAGTGCAATTGCGGGGACGCAGCTTCCGGCCGCAATGCAGTACCCTGAGGCTCTACGTACGTAGCACGCGACGCTCCTACCGCTCCAACCGACGGCAGAGTATGAGGACGTTTTGGGTTCCTCTTCTTTTAGCAGTCGGTTTCGCCACCCTCCACATGTAGTGAAGGGCACGGTAATCGTGCATATCTCCGGGTAAGACGATGTTCGCGACGGCACGCAACCGCACAACGACGACGTGTTCGAACGTTGGTGAGCACTGCTGTGGAGTTTGTTACTACAATCGTCGTGTGCACTTTACCACGCCTGGTTGGAGTTGACGTTGCTCTTTGACACCTATAATTGACCAACCAAACTCAAAGTAGCGTCGTTCGTGAAACAGGCCACCAAGGCAATTTCGACCTAGGTGATGATCGCTGTTGTGTTGACCGTACTACTACTGTAGACTTCATTATGTCACCAAGGAATTGCTGTTGGATCCATGATCATTTTGGGTTTGGAAAGAATAACATCAAGTCGATCATTCGAAGAATTACCGCTCGCTGTTGTGTGGACTACTCTTGGGAACAACACACCCACTTGCTGATATCCGTTATACTATTTGACGCTCTTTGGAACATTTTCGGCAAGAACTTCCCGAAAACGATTTGTACATCCTCCGTCGTGGAGGATGCGGGCTTTGAAACTTCGTCTGAGGCGTTTTGGTATCTTGCGTACACATAGTAAGTGCTGTATTTGAAGGCGTACACTGCCTCGCACGCGCGTCTGGGCGGAATTGCATTTGGCGGCGGGATAAACCAAAACGCGCCAAACGCTCCCAGAGCCCAAAAACTATCCAAGACATGAACGAAAAAAACGAAAACCCACAATAAACCCTAGTAATAACCCTCCGATGATCTACATTGTATTGCATAAATATGCGGGGTTTCGGCCCCTGGATGGCGTTTTTGGGTTTGACAGAGATCCAGGCCATGATCCAAACCTGTTTCGAAAAAAATAAAACGGGGTTTGAAAATTTTGAAACCCGTTTTGATAAAACAAAATTGTTCCTAGCACCCGCCGTCTCTCCCCCCGTCATCGATGCCCTCCAGATCCTCCGGACCACGCATCATCGCACTTAATGTTCCCTTCTTTGCTTTTTGTAGACCCAGCGACGAATTTACATGTTGTTCTTCAGTTGCCGCTGCAAATGACTCTGCTGACGCTCGCTTCCGCGACTGGAAATCAGGACGCGCTTCGTAGAGGCCAGCAGCGGCACACGGCGACACCCACCTACAGCCACACTACAATGTATGTACTCCCGTACAGGTGGAGTAGCTGCGACCACAGAGCGTAGGCTTGTACGACATGTCTTCCGTATGCGTACATAGCTGACTATTTGTGGTGGGGTGTTGGAAGCACGATATTCCGTCGTGCTGGGAGAGGATGCAAGCCAATGCCGTATACTATATTTTGCTCCCGTGTGCACAGCCATCACAACAAGCAAGCTCGGATCCGCTCGTCAAAAAGAGGATACAAGAAAAACGTGCGGGCGACCACGTACAGGTGCCCGGCCGTTTTTATAGATTCATTGCTCTACAACTAAGAGGATGCGACAGCCAACAGAAACACGCAAGGAAAGCTCTCGACAAGATCACTATTTCTGGTATTGGTAGCCTCTTGCAGCTTGGTTGTGGAACAACCGAGGTTATAATCGCTCATCGCACACCTCTGTCTGCGTTAGTTGCCCCTCACGTTCACGGTATTTCCGTTGTTGGGCGGTTGCAAGGTAACCGCACCATTGACCACCGTATGTCGCGATTGAAATCATTGTTCCGTGTACGAACCTTTCACCCCCCTACCATTTCGGGGCTCTACGTTGTCGTCCACTCTGTGCCTCCCGCGGCTACGTGAGAGGACTATTCTCGCCGCCTAGAGGTCACGTCGGAACCGTGCTGCCCATGAGCAGAAAATGAGGTAGCAACCTCGTGTTTCGACAAACAAGTTCAGGCACTCCGTGTTGACACATCATGCGAGATGACGACTTTCGCAGAGCTTGTTAACACAGATCTGGTCACCGAGATACAGGACCTCGCGGCCAAGCATGATATCGTGCTGCCAGGCGGGAACGTGCTGGACATTGGTATCTAAACAAGAAAGCAGGCCTATGAGCCTCATCGGGACAGCGAAAAGATACGGATGCGGAGCTTTCGCGCTTACTGAGGAGTCGAAACACGTGTCCATCAAGGACTGCATTGTGACCCAGCAGCTGGCGGGGTACGTGTCGTACTTCGAGCTATCGGACGACCTCGGGGGATCTGTGGTCAAGAACAATACCAGGAAGAAACCAACGAAACACAACCACTGCTGTTCCTACACGGGACAACGGGAACGAAGCAGAACACGAAGACTCGATAACCGTCACGTATAAAGGCCTGTACGGTGGCCAGGACTCGTACGAGGTGCTGGGTCACAGAGATTACTGCCAATACATTACACACGACGGAAGCATGTTCTTCAAGTACAGGTGTTTGGTTCCACACCGCGCCGCCAACCGTCGGGCTCAACCTGAGGGGGTGCCAACGCGAACCGTCACCCCAACAACCGAGCACGTATCTGCCGCCATTCTGGCATATCAATTCAAAGGTTATTTCGATCAGTTCCCCGTTGGGTAGTGGTAAAACGACAAAAATCGTTGCTCTCAAGGAGCACGACAAGCCGAAAAGGGTGCTTGTCATCACGTGCCGTCGGGGGATGGCCACGGCGGCCGTTTCGAGGGATTCACGAGCTACCTCGACGCCATCCACGAGGATTTGCAGACGATCGAGTACGAGTCACTCCTCCGCCTGAACGCCCTGAAATGCGACATGGTCATCCTGAACGAGAAACGAACGACGCTCAACTTGGCCGTCTGCCGCGAAACGAACAACGGGTACTTGAACAAGAACATGGAGAAACTTCAAGATCTGATCTACTCCGCAGACCGCGTGGTTTTCGCGGATGCCGACCTACACGTCGACGGAGCAGTCGACAGTTGCTACGCGGCCGTGTTCAAGGACGAGGAAATCCACCCGATCAATCACACGGCGGGAGGACAGGAGCTCCACGTGAAGTGGGCAGACGACGTAGCGTTTGTACGCAAGCTTCAACAAGATTTGCGCGACGGGAAAAAGATCGAGGTGTGCTGCGGATCGGCTCAGGAGCTCAGAACTCTCGAGAAGGTTGCTCTGGCGATCGTTGGGAAGGAAGAGGTAGGGATATACTACGCCAACTCTCCGAACCAAGCGGAGATAGTCGGCGTGTACGCTCACTGGTCGAAGTACAAACTCATCGGCGTCACACGCAAGATTGCAGTGAGCGTCGGCTCTAAGGACGGTGTACATTTCCCCGTCGAGGAGAGGATGCGAGCAGCGAGAGAGGACGCCTCGGGGGTGATAACCACAAGAATCCACCTTCAGTCGACTGCAGGGAGTGTCTAAAATCCCTGTGAGTGTGCCTCCAGAACTTAACACACCGAAGTGACCTTGCATTTCTCGACGTTTCACAAGGAGTCCAGGAGGGTGCAACGGAGGCCAGCGCTGTTGGTTTCCACCGTTGTCGTGGCCAACGACACTCCTCGTCAGTGATCCCTGTTGGCACTCACGTTTGATTATGCCATATCCCTCGAGTGGGGAACGATGCGGCAGACTTATCACCCTTCTTATGCCAGGCTATCGAAACTCTATACGAAACTCTATACGAAACTCTACGCACGAGCAGAGGCATCCCGCTAGTATTCCCGCGAGTGGGGAACGTTGCACGGCAGACAACTCGCGTACTACAAACCACTACGCCGAGGAAATATCGCTAGTATTCCCGACAGTAGGGAACTTTGCACGGCAGATTTGTACCCTTCTTACGTTATCGAACCTCTATTTACCGAGCAGAGACATCCCGCTAGTATTCCCGCGAGAGGGGAACGTTGCACGGCAGACAACTCGCGTACCACAAACAACTTACGCCAGTCATGTCGCTAGTATTCCCGCGAGTGGGGAACGTTGCACGGCAGACAACTCGCGTACTACAAACCACTACGCCAATACAACCTCGCTAGTATTCCCGGAAGTCGGGAACTGTGCACGGCAGATTTGTAACCCTTCTTACGCTAGCGAAGCTCTATTTACCGAGCAGAGACATCCCGCTAGTATTCCTGCGAGAGGGGAACGTTGCACGGCAGACAACTCGCGTACTACAAACCACTACGCCAATATAACCTCGCTAGTATTCCCGGAAGTCGGGAACTGTGCACGGCAGATTTGTAACCCTTCTTACGCTAGCGAAGCTCTATTTACCGAGCAGAGACATCCCGCTAGTATTCCTGCGAGAGGGGAACGTTGCACGGCAGACAACTCGCGTACCACAAACAGCTTACGCCAGTCATGTCGCTAGTATTCCCGCGAGTGGGGAACGTTGCACGGCAGATAACTCGCGTACGGCATGGGCCGGAGCGGCGGGGGTAGTGGGGGGGCATCCGGGGGTCAAGATGGCGGTCACGCAGCAGCTGGCGCGGGCCGAGAGCGTGACACCGTGACGGAGAGACGAAAAAGGGTGACGTGTTCAACGACGACCCCGACGGATTTTGCCGCTACCACCAGTCCGAGCTTCATACCAACGAGCAGTGTCGTTTCCAGCAGCAACTGCGGCGCGCGCGTTCGAGAGCGGGCGCCAAGGAACGCCGCCAGGATCGCTGCCATGGTGGCAGCGTCGCGGTGGCGGCGGTAGCCAGCGAGGGGGTACACCGCCGCCGGGGCCCAGCCGCGGTGGCGGGAGATGGATGAGGATAGAAGAGCAGCAGCACCACACCGGTCATGGTGGTGGTGGCTGGAACCAAGCCTCACCCCCCCCGCGACCTCTTCGTGGACGTGGGCCCGGTGGTCGTCTGGGACGTCACCCGGGGGGTCGTGGGCCAGCGGGGCGCCACAGCAGCGACGGTCGTGCCGAGAGAGAGCGGGCAGGGAGAGTCCCGGGGCACGCGCGTTCTGGCCACGGAAGAAAGCAGGCGTACGTTGTGTACTACGCCCACGATGATTGTGGCTACTACGAAGACTACGGCGACTACGACGACAGCTGCTCCTACAACGACGGCTACCACGACGCCGGGTACGCTCACTACGCCGGCGGTGGAGACAGCTACGGCTACTCCTCCGGGTACAAAGGCAGCCGTTCATCCGACGGCGGCATCCACCACGTCTACTACCGTCTCGCCGGCGAAGATTCGTCATCCGAGCAGCCGCGTCAGCCCCCCCCCCCTCGAGCAGCAGCAGCACCGCTCCCTCCTCGTCCTCTACCCCTTCTCCTGGCGCGCCTCCATCTTCGGGCTACCTCCACCTCTGCACGGCACAATCGGTGCCTCTATGCAAGTCTCACCCCGAATATTTTTATGGTATGTAGGATAGGAGTGACGATTTGAGTAGAGTCTACAGCGTCTGCTTCGTCTTTGCTGAGTGTGACATCTACTGAGGGGCCGCCTGGTAGCGAGAGATGGGTAGCTGACTCAGGGGCAAGCAACAGTAGCCTACACAT